TGTCGTGACGTAAGTCTAGGTAATCATCGATGAACAAATTTAATTACGTTTCCGGACGGCAATCTGAAATTACCTGCAAAAATTATCAGAGCATAAAACTTGAATTTCAGGTCTGAAAGGGCATTCAACTGTATTGTACCTAGGTCAATTAAGAGCATGACGGCGCAACATCATTTGCTGTTGTGAAGATACGTACGATGTGAACTTTACAACATTTTTTTATGTAATTCTGCGAATCTACCACCAAGACTGGTCGTTACTTACTCATCCACATTTCTAGAATTTATAAAAGTTTGATTTTGGTGAAAAGTAAAGAGTACCAAGTAGCTTCCCATCCACTGTTGAGAGTCATCAGCACTACAGTCAGTCTTTTCCCTGGTTGGGATTGGGAGTGTGAACCTTTTGTTTAGGAGTCAAAACACCATTTATTATGGGAAAAAACTTACAAAGACTTCGCTCATCAAATCCCATAGGGTGTATACACTTGGGTTCGGAACACGATTCACAAGATCACAATTAGTCCATGTACGTAAACGCGTAATGGCATGTTTTTGACGAGCACAGGAGAATTTATTTTGTAGTTGGGTTTTGAAACAATGTCTGCTAGAGCATCATCAAGCTAACCCTTGAAAGATACCAATGTTCACGCACAGACCACGTGAGGTGGTAGAGAGTTCCATGTGTTGCACACTCTGACTGCAAATGAATGGCGTCTGCAGTCGAGACGACTGTTTTGGAGTGCCAACTTCAGTGGATGCCCTCTGAGGTGAACATTAGTTGATAAAACTAAAAGGGATTAACATGGATGGTTGGACTGTTGGAAAATTCGATACAGTAAGATCATATCGGCTCTGATTTGACGATATTGAGACGAGTTCAGCCCAAAAAGCTAAAGGTTGTGGAATGTAGACATTTGACCATTTTGGTAGCCATTCTCTGCGGATGTTCGAGCGCCTTCTGAACTCACTGCAGCCATGGGTTCCAGGCCTGAATTGAGTATTCGGTGTATGGACGGATATATGTGGCTAACAGAGGTGGAAACGAAGCCGGCTCAAACGATTCGAAAACACGTTTGAGTATTCCAACCTCTTTTACCGCCATGGATGATGCCGTGGAAAAGGTTGTGGAGCAACTCGAGTCTGCGCGAATGACTACTCCTAGATCCTTCACGGATGGAGCATGAGGCAGAGTTTCGTATCCGACAGTGTAAGAATTACAACCATTGTGACGTAGTAATAAGACTTTACATTGTGTACCGTTGAATTCCATGTCATTGGAGACAGACCATTTGTGTGCTTCGTCAAAGGCGTTCTGGAGATCAAATGAATCTTCTGGTTTTTGTTATTGTCCTCCTTTTTTGGCATCGATAGTCGATAGTCTTCATAAGATGATGCTTCTCCAATTGAGGCATTTAGCATTTTACAGACAGCTCCTTACTACGGTTGAATTCATCACCCTGTGTGAATTAGTCGAATTGCAGAGATCTTGGCTTCCATGGGCCCTTTCTTAACAACGGAGATTGTTTGTTTTACTCTACGGTAGATAAAACCTTCTGAGTGAAATGAAAATCCGGTTTCACCGTGTTTGTGACCTATGAAATATGTACAAAGACGGAACAATCTCTCCTGATTGACTAAGGGATAACGTGCATACAAAATAATTGAACGAGCAGTATTTCTCCCTGTTAATGCGGTGGTTCAATTCATTGAAAATGGACTAACGGGAATCTCTTTTACTAACTGTGTGTCTCGTACGCCTAGGTAAACTTCGGGGTGAATCTAACACATACTCTGGCACACCTCGGTCACGATTTGATCCTTGTGCACTTGTCCGCGTCTGTCACAGATGACAAAGTCTAGCATGGTCAATAGGAAGAAGATTTTGTTTTGTCACAGCTGTGCGTAAAATTCCCACCACTGATAATAGAATGAGTCCATAAATGCTTTTTGTTCACTAAGTATACGAATGAAGAGTAAACTCAGGAGCGGGACAGGTAGTCATACAAAAACTGTTTGGGGAGTGCGGTGGCCAGGTTTGAACTCAGAACCTCCAGCGAGAGAAAATTGATGGAAGTTTGCTTAGCAAAAGTAGCATATGTCAACCAGACAGATCATAAAATGATTGCAATCCCTTACAAAAAACAAGGGGTGAAATCATCAACGTGCATCTAATGCAAACCGATATTAAAAAGACACCGAAATTTGCCGTCGAAAATTCGAAGGAGTAGTTTTCCTTAAATTGGTTTCATCGATGACCACGTGAGTCACAATGAGGGCTGGAAGGCGAACCCATTCTAAAAAATCATCTGCAGCGTACTTATCACTTGATACATAGCGATGTTGTCTGTAGGTATTGATCCTAGCCTATGAGGTAACGGTAATAACGGTTTGTGGGCAAAGAACCACTGGTTGATAGTTTCAACCAATCAGAAGCCGTGCGATCCAAACGGACACCGTATGATATCAAGCATGCAAGCGGGCCATAGGCGAAGACCTATTTAGTCAATGACGTATGTTTGTACATATTATTTAATTCAGTTCTTTTCCTCGATAAATCTCAATGACATTTTTCATGCCCCTCAGTGACTGAAGATATTAGCCTATGATTGCCAATGCGATTTGGCGCTTCACTTGTGATCGTGATCCGTGGCTCATTATTCGTACCGATTTCAATTTCTACACCGTCTGAAAAAAACTAACACAAACAAAGCACGGACATCACGGGACTGTAAACGACCTTGTCAACTCCACATCCCCATCGCCATCATTAGCATCCCAGTTATCATCATCCATAATTCTCTGTTTACTAACGCATAAGTTTCCGTGGTCTTCAAATAACTTGGTAACTGCTATCTTTCCTCATTCTGTACAGAACGAGTGTCTCGTCTTTTAGCACGGGAAAATATTCCCCATTCTTTCGTAATGAGATCGCAAGTTCACAAAACAAGCGCGTTTTGGGCGCTGCATCAACCAGCTAAACACAGCACAATTTATAATTAATTAAACAAATGATGAGAAAAGACATATCTGCGATGGGAATCAGAGTTGAGAAAGATGTGATGTAATTGTGATAACTGGTGTGTGTGTGTGTGTGCGGAAAGGTGTTTGCTCAATGATGATTGGACGAATGAATGAGAGTGTACGAATAGAGGCTAAGTGTAGGAATGAGAAGACATATTACTGTTGCGTTGTAAAGCTGAATTCGTGAACCATTCCTATCAGTGACAAATGTGAATGACATGATGAGTTATCGTGCACAAAATCTGACTCAATTCATCACTTGGGAGTTGCAAATTATGAGATGAAACATGAGAAATGTCTTGCAGATGTAAGCGATACCGATATATGATAACCAGTTTTTAATAAAACATTCAAAATGTACACTGCCTCATATATTATATGCCACGTTTTATGGAGAATCTTATATTAAATTTATCAGTAATTTTGTTTTCTATTGGACCATTTTGTTAGCTAATTTGAGGAAATATTTTTGCAGTCAACAGAAAGATTAATAAAATTACCAATAATAATAGATTTTATTTTACTTCTCTCTCATCAATGAATTGACTTTGGACGGCGCCGGAGCTTGCTCCCACTTGAGACCAGGGACAAATGAGCGAAGGTGAACTCATTTTCATCCCACCAGACATTTTGAACCCACTTTGATCTTCCTCTGCTTCACTCTACTCCACTCCACTAAACTGAAGTTTACTCCACTCTAACTCCCCTGCTTTTATCGCGTTCTCTTCCTCCTCGTCGTCGTCTTTATGTAGATCGATTACGGAGTTCGTTTGGCATTTGCCTCGCAATCGCCGAACGTTTCCACTCAAATATCTTCCATAAATGTGATGATCAATATTTGATTGCAAAATTGTATTTCTAAGTTTTTTGTAGTACGACCACTACTACTACCACCACTGCGTCTGTCGTTATCCTGTCGCAGTACTAGACTCCAGTCTGGCGCCATATTTTCTCAATTCCACAAAAGCAATAAATGATTGAACATGAATTCAGTGTGACTTTGAAACTGGTAATTTTTCCGGGAATAAAACGACATTCGACAAGAGTGGATGAATATTTTGGCATAGATGGCATTGTATTGACTGCTAGTGTGTGTGTTTGTACTATTGTTTGCAAATGTCAAACTCGGGGCACTGGTTTGAATCAGAGTATGGTTTCCTCCAAGTCTCCTGTTACTCCTTTCACAGTAAATCGAGACCAGCCACCCCACCCCGTAAACGAGCAGACCAACAACCTTTTCATTAATGAATGAATTTTAATGAATACCTGAAAACCCGAGAGTACTGTGGACTTACCCTCAAACATGTAACGCACATTCCTATGACATTGTTAATCTCTTGGCTCATACTGCTTGCTAAAATAAACACTCACATCAGGCAACTTGCTATATAACACGATCGATTATTCTCAGCCGATCATATTTTAATATTGAACTGTCCGCTTGATTCTTATCCAGCTTCAATACTCGACTGAACCGCAATCAGATTGTATGCATTGTCTGCGCGTGATGTTGTCAACTGACCTGTCCGCTGTCCACGTTTCATCCGTGTCCTTGATGTGATGATTGTACACGTCAGTATACACAGGAACCTGTTCACTGTGTTGTCCTACAATGACATTCACAATACGGAGTTTGACGAAGTAGATGCGAGCGTTTTGCCGTCAGCCGGTCTCAACTAATTAGGTGTAAAACTGTTAAACGCCCAAATTGTATGGGAATTTAGTTCGATAGGATAACTGTTCACTGGTCCAGACTGATCCATGCTTTGCTGTTGCGTAAATTTCAATCGCCATATCTGTTTGTGATGCATACATATAGTTCCCTTTTTCCATTCTCAAGGATTCATTGATTTTTCGGGTAAACACGTTTCGGTATACAGTCCTGTGAATTTCGATGCTTGATTGCGCCTTGCGCCAAATCCCTCTTTGATAACCAAACCGTTTGTTATTAACGTCCCCTCATTTCTTTGTGTACAAAAGGTGAACCAAAGTTTGCTCATCAGCCGGAGAATACGATCGTCCCCGTTTTCGGTACTGCTGTCATGCAATGCGCCGTGGACGAGGAGGCCACAAAACCCCCGGCACAGGTTATGTGGTTGTTGAATGGCGGCACCATCGATCAGTATTTGGACGGCCATCGAAAACTAAGGCGATTTGATGTAAGTTACTCAGAAATTCGGGTGATGTCGGGGTTGAGCAAGATGAAGAGAGGACGATATCAATGCATTTTTAACCATTTGATCAAGCATTTGTCATCGGTCAGAAATATCAGCCACGAAATGTCAAGTACAAGGAGAATATCATTCTCCAAGCCGCCCTTTCTATCGATCCTTCCTCCATCCGAGCCATCCAATAGTATCGTCCTATTCTGAAAGATCTACCACTACGCCGCTCACAGATCAAACTTGCGTTTTTTGTTCCGATCAAACGAATACACTAAATGAGATCAGCTGATAGCTCTTTCGGGACTGTTTTGTAAGGAAATCACCGGTTTCTGTCATTGTATTACTATCACTGCGGCAAACTGCAGTAGGCATAAATAAGAAAGTTCGAGAACCACAGTGAACGAAGTTGTTAGATCAAGAGGATGCTTCGTTCTTAAGCAAGTGACTGGTTGACTAGTGACCTTGGACAGGTCGACAATGATTGATTGGCGTCTGTGTCCAACTACCGCGGGATGTGTTCAGTTATCCTCTAGCTATGTTGCCATTCAGTTCATTCTAGGTGGGTTGCCGAGCACTCACACGTGGAGAGACGGGGAAGATGTGACCTGGCACGAAGGGTTACTCACTGTTTTACCGATTAGGGACTGTTGTCTGTCAGCTCGTGTAGAGCGAGGT